TATTCATCGTTGTCCTAATGATTTATTAAATAATAATATTCATTAGTGAAATACCATTTCAATAAACCTGCACAGTCTAATTATTTTTATTAAATAATACCTAGTTACAATTAATTGTGAATGAAGGCTATACATCACCTATACCTTCATCAAATTCAATAATAATATAATAATTATTGATAAAGTGCTTACCCATAAGTGAGATATATACCTAACCTAACCTAATATAAAGTGTCACATATATATAGTAGATATGTATATCATATTTAAATAAGCACATGACACAAACAAGCATTATTAAAAAATAAATGAAATAAACATTATAACATTGTTGCATAGTTAATGAGATAAATAACGGACACTTTGCACTGTTTATTATTTGATTTGCATACCGCCGACATTGTACCGTTAAATAAACTGGTAATCAATAATAATATTGATCATGGACACATTGTACCTAAGTTGGTATACGAAAAAAAAATTGAGCATAACTTTCAGTTTTACCTGCGACTAAGAAAAATAGGTATGTTTTTTGTCCAATAAAATTCCATCAACATTGAAATATCACACATCAATTATAATATATTATACCTATTTAAATAACGAAATAATTGAAAACTGAAAACTTTGATCAATTTACTGCCGAGTGCCGAATAACTGTGGTTAGCTACCTAACTGTGTTTTTATACTAATAATTATATTACTAACATACACAAGTTTGAAATTGAGTGATTTACCTAGAAGTAAGTTGACTTAATTGCTAACTATTTTTCTATTAATTATCGTCATAATTAGTTGTTATTTGCTACACCATTTTCTAAAAAAAATGAGGTTACACAATGATGATATTCTTAGGTATTTTTTTATGTACAATTTAAATTAATTTTCATTGTTTTTAAAATAAGATTTAATTATTGTATGTAATTAATGAAACTAACTTAAATTGTATTAAATATTATATTTTCATAATATTTTTAATTTAAATGACCAACTTCTATTGTATAGTGCAATTATATTGGTCTATCAGCCCTGAAAGTTACAGAACGCAACTGCTCCATTGACTCCAAAATGGTTTGAGCGAAATTGGTTTAAACTCCTGAACTTACGTACTTACAGCAGATTTTTTCTTTTGAAACTTACGTAATATGACGTAACCGTTTACCTGCTATGATTTTTGTGGAAACCTACCACAAACCTCATTAAAATATGTTCGTCATAAAACTATGAAAGAAGTTTCAACGTAATACGCCAATCCAATTTCTTTTTAGTTTATATTCGTCTTATGTACGATAAAATATTGTTGTTTGTGAGTAAAAAAGCTTGAAAATTGAAAACAAGGTTGGTTTCTCAAATGTTTTCCCTTAGCCACTAACAAACATCGAAAATACAATATATAATAATATTTTTTGTCAAAATCGATAAAACCGTGAATTGCTTCGTACTTGGTAGTCATATACATATTATGAGACGTGACCGTCTGTCCGCTCGTTTCTGCCCAAAATGGCCGTTTTCATCGCATTCAATGATTTATCTCTGAATTCATAATATTCAATACGTTCATAACTGTGTAACCTATACATAATCTTGACGTACATTTAACACTCATCACGACTATACAACAGAGCGACTAGGGTTGTTTAAACTTCGTTTTAAACCTTCAATATACAAACCGTATTAAAGCAATAAGTTTAAATGTCGAAAAGATAAATTAAATATTACATATTTCAATGAACTTGAAAAGTCCACAGACCACAGTAGTTGTAGAATATAAGAGTGAGGTACCAGAATATATTATTATTATTTTTGAATTTAGAATCGTATGTATATATGCGCGGATGCACGGATAGGGTTACCTCTACTGCTGTACAACATATAAATATCGGTTACGTGATCACGCTTAGTCGTTTGGCGTTCGCTTTTGAAATCAACATAATCTACACGTGTGTGTGTGTAAAATAAATATAATCAAATAAATACAAGCCGTTTATACTCGGTATAAAATTGCAAAAGTTTTTCCGAATGTTTTTGATTTACGACCGGTGCGGTGCGGTTGTAGCAATGTGCCTTGTGTCCAGTGTATGTGTGTGTGTTCGTTTCCGCTAAATGATTGATGGATAGATATTTATAATAAAACGGCGTTCGAATCGGCCCTCGTCATGTGCCTGGTGTAAACAACAACAATAATAATGTATTTTTCTTTGAGGTACTTATAGGTTATAGGTAGGTACCTACGTCAAAAGAACCGTACAAGAAATGCGTGTTACGCATCTTCAAAAAAATATTACATAATATAATATATATGTTATGTTCTAATCATAATATTAAAGTCTTCGTTATTCTTGAATACGTGATTGAAGCACGTAATGTCCTTATAGCACAAACAACGGATTTACCTTCAATGTGTCTTCAATCCAAATATTTATGGTACGCCTCGAACAAATAATTCTGAAAATGTTCTGCATAGTAATAGTAAAAAAAAAAAATGTTATATTTACGTTTACTTATTTATATAGAAACTTAATATAAAATATAATTTATTATTATTTTATAACTGAGGACTTTAAAAGGCGCATAAGGGCTATTAACTGCAGATAATGCTCAAAGCTGACCCAAAATAATTTCTACATAATTAATGCCACTGAAATATGTTCTTTATAGGCTATAGGTAGATACTAAGTACTAATTAGTAATTACTAATTACTATTTGAAACTAATGATGTATGCACAAAGCTGAATCTATTCTGTTAAGCACCTATTATAACAAAGAGTAACTATAGGTATCTAGGTACTCTAGATTTACCCTCCAATTAAACCTTTGTTTGTTAGAAATATACGATATGGTATTTAATTAGCAATATATCGATTTAATGGTTAACTGCTACCTTCCAATTTAAATTTTCTAGTTATTAATAAATGCATGAATTATACATCTATTAAGTAGGTTAACGTTGTAGGCAAGGTTGTAAAATATACTGAGTAAGTGAGTAACTCACCAAGCATGTTCAGTGTTTACCCTTTTTGATTCATTAATAATGAAATTATTATTCAAATTTTAATTTTTGAACATTTTTAGGATAGGTACCTACTTAAAGACCATATTTTCAGTTAAGTAGGTACTTATACTAGTTATACTGTTTAAGAAGTGCCATGTATACAAACTTATTTTTCAAATGAAAACTTTTCTTCATTACTTACTATACATTTTCAAACAAACGGTATTTTAAGACTGTTATTGGGCCCATCTAAAACTTAAACGAGTAGGTATTGAGTTATTGGATCTAATGTAGGTACTAAATAATTATTGAGAATCCAACAATGGTTTTAAATAAAATACCAAATAGGAGAAATATTTAGACTGGTACCTACTATTATTATGTTTCGACAATTTATAGTTTCTACAAATTATAAAAAGATAATATAATGTGTATAGGTATATTATTATTATGGATAATGGATGCGATTGTGTGATACGATTGCGTATGTACTTTTAGGTTTACGATTGTGTGTTTTTTTAAATATAACTGTATACGGTCGAGCACAAAATCGTAGTTTGAATTTTAATTGATTAATTATTAAAAATAATCAATGGGAGTGATTATACCAGCTGAGTGGTGAGTCGTTCTTGTGGATCATTATAATTGCATAGTATTAAATATGGATTAGAAAATTAGTGCATACTTATTAAAATTAATACATTTACAAAATTAAGAAACAAACTTATTTTTTACCAATAATAATAGTAGAAGAAGAGGGGCAATACGGAAAGGCTAAGGTGTCAGAAACTATGAATATAACTCAAATGTGATAGTTTGTTTTGAAACTTGAACTATATGTATTCTATAGCAATTATCAAGATGTGATTATTAATACAATACCTTGTTTTGAAAATTCGGATAAGACCTATAAAGTTAAATGTTAAATTAATATGACGTTTTGGTCTTCTTTGCCACGTTTTGCACCACATCTTACAAACTGCAAATATTATTCAATTATTCACATAAATATTAATTAATTAGTCAACATAATACTTACTTACCCAGTACTCTGTTCTGGCTGGCTCAAGTTCTCTTATAATATATAATAAGATATTTACCAGTCATTGTAATTGTTTAAGAACTCTAATTAAAAAATTAATTTAAAAAGTGTCTTATTATGGTTTTTATAATTTGATATTATGATTTGTTAAAAATAAAATAAGACATATCAAAAACCATCAAAAGACTTAAAAAGTTAGACAATTTGTTTAATTTAATATTCATAAATGTTAAATAATGATGATTTATTAAAAATTAAATCAACAAAATAAAGAAATTAGTTAGTTATTAAGAGTTATAATATTATAAAGAAAAATATTACTAATTAATTTTATTTGTTATAAATAGTGCCGAAGGTAAACAAGAATACAAGAACATATTTATTTTATAAACTTAAAATTAAAATTAAAGATAAAACAACACAAATACAAATTATAATATACTGTAATCTGGCTTTATTCCCCATAATTTTTATTATAAAAACAATCGTAGGTAAAATGTCATAGATATTATAATTAAAACTTTAGTAGGTACCGACTTAAATTATAATATATTCAATATTGTGTTATAATCTTTTTAAAATGTCACATGTCCCTAAAAAACATCAGCGATACAAAAATTCTAAGTATTCTAATTTCTAAATGAACAAAAATCTTTCTATTTACTTAATAGTATGTTAGTACAGATTAATTTAATAGTTTATACTTTAGAAAAGTATGCGTGTTTTTGAAAATATTTTGGTTGCTTATTACTTCATTCATGTAAAGATGTTTTTTTTTTCTAAAAATTCAATGCTTTTAGGAATACATATACAAAGTGTTAATAATATATTACTGCTAAAACAATCAGTAAGTATACAATTTTTAATATTACATTAAATTACACAAAGAATTATAAAACTTACATAGCTTAATAAATGATAATTTTAGATTTTTGTGTGTCTGTCATCACGATTTCTTGCAGTAAAACTGTAAAAGTACTTCGATTTTCTCAAATAGTCCGTTTCTAGTAGGAAAGTGAATCTAGTTGGTGCATTCTGGAGGTCACAATTTAAAATTCCCAATAGTTTTCAAAAGCAACAAGAAAAATAAACAAAAAGTTAAGGAAAAATGGGAATTTTGAAGCAAAACCATTTTTTGAAAAAATCGATTTTAGTTTTTAGTGTAACTCTAACAAAAATGATACATGAAATTTTCACTGAATATTTGTGTGGGCATTTTCTATACAACATAAAATTTTCAAAATATTTTTATTTGTGTTGAACTATTTTTAGGCAATTAAAATTTTCGACTATTATTTATTTTTTTCAAACCCAAAAAAATGTTCGATCAGTCAAAAAATTTGAAAATGTAATACAAGGTTGTATGTTGTTGTTAATGGAAATTAAGAAAAAAGTTGAGTCCACAATAATTTTTTATGAGCGTTTGAACTTAAAATTTAGACAAAATTCATAAAAACCATGAAAATTAGCAAATTATATGTAGTTAGAAACACATAACATTTTTTTTTTTAAATCCAAGATTTAATAATTGTATACTAGATGTCTTATACATTTTTCTACCTTTATCAAAAAAATATTTCTACCGGAAAGTCTAATTAAATTTTTATGAGCGTTTTAAGTTGAAATGTTTTCAACATTGGATAATATTCACTCGATTTTTCTTGTAGCAATTTTCTTATTTTGTTGTAATTCAAAAACGAATTACTCTACAGTAATTCGTTTTTGAATTACAACAAAATAATATTTATATTTTAGACACTTGAAATTTACACAGAATGTTTATTTCATCAACTCATATATTTGATACAATTTTCAAAATATTCTGACTTGTTTTAGTTTGTTGACGGACATTTCCATTTTCTTTTTTTTCATTAATTTTTCTATAAATGTTAATACAATTTTATTGGTTGGGTTAAAAAGCATAAAAATTGAATACAAAGTTTATGATAACAAGTCTTGTTAAAATGGCAGTTGATAAATATTAAAAATATATGGTTTTTTATAAGCATTTAAAGTGCAAATGTTGACAATATTTATCAAGTTGAAAATTGCAAATGATTTTGTAGTTAAAAATTTATAGAATGTTCAATTTGTATAGCTAAGGATTGAACATTTAAAACAAGGTTCCAGTTTTTTCCATAACTATTAAATCCAAAAATACATGAATACTGTTATTTTTTACAGACATTTAAGTTCAAATTTGGACAAAATTGCATATTAACACAAAGAAAAACGGTTAACATTTTGTTGTAATTCGGTTTTAAAACAGCCCAATATTACACAGGTATATTTAATATTTTTCCAACATCACTGATAATTAAATAATAATATTAATTGAACTTACCAGCTACCATTATTAATATTAAGTAATAACAATATAAAATATCCTGAACTGGCAGACCGTCTCCGCTCAGAATCGTTTTTCGTATACAATGATTTGATATCATTGAATTCAAATTTAGTACCATCCATTACTGCGACCTCTAAGACACCTAATGTACAGCAGAGCGACATCTATTTTTTTAAAACTAATGTCGATAAAAAAATTTTCGTATGGTCGAGAACCTTGTAAATATAATACAAGGTTCCCCGTAAGTTGTTGTTAGTGCAGATTAAAAAAATAGATGAGCGTAACGGACATTTTCAATGTTCATTGTTTTTCATTTTTTTTTCTATAAATATCATTAAATTTTTTTTGGTTGGGTCAAAAAGAATGAACATTTAATGCAAGACTCTTGACATATTGTTACAATAGCAGTTGAAAAATAAAGTTTATCATTTTATTGTGATTTGGTTCCAAAACAGCCCAATTTTGCATAATTTATTTTTTATATTTTTCCAGCATTACAATAATTATTTAAGAATAATATTAATTCAACTAACTGGCTACCATATTAATAATAAGTAATAACAATATAAAATATCCTAGACTGACATACCGTCTCCGCTCAGAATCGTTTTTCGTATGTAATGGTATGATAACATAGAATTCAAATTTAATGTCATCAATTATAGTAACAGTAACCTCCTAATGTACAGCAGAGCGACATACTCTCACCGCTTACTCGCTCTTTTATTATCGTTATTAATGTTCAAAAAACTTTTTTTTTATCAATGTATAATGAAACTTAGATAGTACTTGGAAAGATTCGTGTTATTTTCGTGATATTATGTTATTTTCGATAAAACATTAACGCAAAAAGTGTATACCTTCAAAATAATATTATATCCGAAAATGTGTACGTAACTTAATTATGTACCTACATATGTATCGGTAAGTAAGTACGTATTTTTTCTAAAAGCACCAAATTCAATTCACCACTCGACAACCGACGATGCAACACTGACGTTTATTTTTATTTACTCTTCTTTAGGCAGAAAAAAAAAATTATTCTCTATTAGTATTTTTTGTCCTAAAATGGATAGTATTTTTAAATTAAAATAAAAAATACCATGTTTATTGTACAAACAACTTTAAACTAGACTATTTAAAACGGAATAAATTTATACATTTGACTATATTAATACATTGACCAAACACTTTTTTATAGTTGTTTGGACTATAGAATATTCTGAAAATTACATCATAAATGATAATTGTATTATATTTTAAATTGTTTAATTTAATTTAGGACTGTACTACTTATATACTTACTTGGTATATGAATGCAAGTCGTATTTATTAACTCAATATAAATCTTATATTCAAAATAATTATCCATTCGATGTTTTTATGCATTTATAGGTATATTATAATTAATTAACAATTATAAAAATTTTAAAATTTAAAAAAAAATACTGTTGAAGAATATTTGCATATCTAATATTATTTTATCAAATCCGGCCTTACAAATCTTTTTATATATTTATTACCTATGTGTTACATATGATTATGATAATCTTCAGATTAACAACATTGCTTTATGAATCGTTAATCAACATTTTTAGGTATGTTATAATCATAATTCATAGTATATTAATGCATACAACTGTAAATGTGGATTACTATTACTAATTATGAGGAACCTTGTATTCAATTGTTAAGCTTTTTAATAGAGTTAAATCATTGCTCAGAATGGGCGGGAACTCACCGGAACGCAGTTCCGGTTCGTCAATTGTTTACATATTATGGCGTTCCATTTCGTTAAAAGTTTGATGTTTTAAAAATAATAGTTCGAAATTGTATACATTTTAAAAACGGCAAATCTTGCTTTCAATTGTTGCTTATTAGCAACATTTAATAACGTATTATTAATCGTTAATACCTATCTACTAGTCGTAGAAATAGTATTATACTATTATAATATAGTAATAGTTTATGCTATTTTATAGTAATTGTTTATACTTTATACTATACTCTTAATCTGCATGCTATTTAATACTAATGGATTGTAGACTACAACAGTAGATACCACGTGGCTGTTCGATAGATAACTGCATATACTTTATTTCTTTCTCTCTAAATCTGTTAGAAATATGAATTGGGTCGAAAACGCAATGAAAATAATGACGACTGCAATGAATTTATTACAAATAAGAAAAAGTATCTAAAGAAAAAAAAATAAACTTCAAATATGGAAAAACTGAATTGAAAATCGAGACGAACTAAGTAAAATACCTGATTGTTGAAATAATTGTCGGTACGGAAATTTTAAAAATTCAAATGACTGGCTTTAATCGTTAAAAATAGATCAATATGTTGCTTAGTATGTATGATCATATTACTAAAGAAGGATTATCCCTTGATCAAAATTTACGTATTTCCCAACCACAGCAAGATCTATAATTTCAAATGATAAAGTCTGAGAATAAAGATATTTGAACATAAAAAATCTGATGCGCATCTCAAACCAGTAGAAATACATAAACAGTCTGCAACAAAACAAATTGAAAAAAAGCTTCGAAAATTCACATGAATCAAATATGCTAACTATACTGAAAGAGTATTTATAGAACTGTTTATAAAATCGTTAAAACTCAAAGAATCTAACTATTACATCAACTGCTCACTTTTGTATTAGAAAATATATTGAAGTTGAAAATCACAACATTTTTCTTCTACAAATTGTGCATACACACGCAATAAAAAAATACGTCATTGTAACCACTCAGCTCAGAATCTAAAATGAATTTTGTCTTGATTTCCAACATACATAATATTAATACTATTTTATATTGGAACATTGATCTAATATCAACAAATCAATAATATAAATAAATGTATAATTAAATTACAATGTACAAACTAGAATCTACATAGAAAGAAATAATGGTCTTATAGCAGTTGGCAGTTATTATATCTATTATTGAAATTTGATTTTCTATTCAATTCTACAATCTACAATTGACATAATTACGTTCAATTTAAAATCAGACATTGATTTCTGTTTGCTTCTAGAAAACTTTTAATGAAATATTATATTACATCTGTGTATTATGGCCCGTGGATGTATGTCAATATAATAAATATAACTCAATTATTTAACTCAAATTTTAATATCACTCATAACCATTCGTTTCGAGATTCATTCATATATATAAGTACACACTGGAAAAACAAATTGAGCATACGGTACTTTTAAATTCTGAAAACGATTTAATAGGTTTATTTTATATTTTGGAAAAATATGGACACCCAAACAGTACTATAATCATCATGAGTCATGACAAAATGACATCCAAATAAAGATTCTTTACCTCATAAATAGCTGTTATAGCCATAAAATGTTTCGATACCTAATAAATCGAATACATCAAAATTACTCTGTCCTATATTAGATAATAGATTTATTAAAACACCAAATATTTTTTTTAATTTTACAATAAATTTGAATAACTAATTAAACATAAAAAATTATTTAAATGAGTTTTCTAAGAGTAATGTTTTGAAAAATTTGAATTTTGTACCAAGGTAGTTGATTCCTAAAAAAATATTCTGATTCAAACTCCATACAATTTATATTTTATAAGAAATTCCA